GAAAAGGCAGTCATCTCGGTCTTCGGATGTCAAACCAGATCGCATAATCAGCCTCACATGGTCAAAATCTGATCAGAGAGAGGTTACAGTTCAACCATTGGTGTCCGACGATGTCCACCTTGTGACCTACAGCACAGTGGGTGCGGGGAAGATGAATTGCGCATGAGTTTAAATCATATTGAGAGAAGACTTGTGACGCATCCACCTTTCTCTCTCCTTCTCACTCATCTAAACCAAGTGTCACGAGAGACTCAAGAAACCCGGACGCAAGATCGGGTGCAGATTGTTAGCTCGGCGTGAAACCGCACCGAAACTTGCCACCAAACACTCTGATCAGCCCACAATTGAGCAGGATTTCACATAACAAGAAAGTGGCACAAAACACAACATTATTGCACATAAAGGAGTGGGCAGACCAGACCTCACATGCGTGGGATGGTCATATAAGTTACATTAAGTAGGAGCCACTACAGCTCGACTTTCAGTCCGCTAATTAGCCACACAATACAAAAAACACCCGCTGCACTAACTGTCCGTTGGCAACCTTCCCAGACACGGCTTATAGTGCGACGTTGAAGAGTCGGGTACGCCAAACTGTTCACAGGGTAGATATGTGTTGGAAGTCGACCTGTCTCCCACTACCAATCTTTCCTGAATCCGTTGATAGCTCGAGCTGGTCAACCAACGGATGTTGCGTTTGATAGAAGGAGCAGAGAGAGAGCCACATTTCGTCTCTGTGTGCCACACGCACACGATATGTCCCACAGAAAAATACGAGGATTTCACACAAAAGAGGATGAGCTTCGTGTGTTAGAGCAACAAAAGGGCCACATAGAAAAGGAACCAAAGATCAGGATTCATACTTGCGCACGAGGTGCCTGTGTTTCACGCTTTTGCTGGTAGTGATGACGAACAGGATCGTGTGCACTGTCGATGTGATGAGGTTTGATCGGCAGGGCTTTAACACAGGTTTTCATGGACTGAATAGGCTAATGCAACGACTGGATGTGTGTCGGCAGTGATGAGGGGTGTTTGGTGGTTCGCCAGACATTACAGCAGCAGTTCCTGTGGGATGGATTCAAAAGTGACTGACAGGCTGTATGATGGACACGATAGGTTGGCAGCTGCTGATTCGGTTGTGCTAGCGATGATGTTGTTCATCGTCGTTCTGGTAGGGGGAGGAGGAATGCGTTGGTATGCCTGGAGTCGGGGAGTTGTCGCGTGTGCTGCACGTGTTCGGCGATTTCATAATTTTGAGAATTGAGCTGTCGTGAATACGCATGTGGCCGAATAGGCCCATCGTTATGGAGAGGGCAAGCGGCGTAGAGCCACAGCCTAAGGCGCTGAACAGGGGACCAAGCCGGCGGCGTGAGACGCGCGTGAAGGTAGACGGCCGACCGGCATGCACTGCAGCGCCGAGCACGTGCGGCGGCTTTGCTCACGTGTGCGGCTCAATCAATGACTGGTCGAACATTCCAGACGTTTCCGCGGGGGGGGGGACTATCGCGCACGCGGTGGCCAATCAGCGACCAGACGGCCCGGGGGCAGGAACGTTCTAGAACGCCCTCAACGGGTGGCACGTCATTGGACGGAATGTTCCAGAACGCACAGGAGCCAATATAAATAGCGCATCTTTCTGACCAGTCGTGACCCCTCGTGTCGGCAAGTTACCAATAAAGTGCTTGCCCTCCGAACCGGCTCTCTTCCTGTCCTAACTTTCTTCCGGGTCATAACACCCATGTTGCGAATAAATTTTCGCAGACTGTGCGGACGGTGGAGACAGATGCGACGAGTGTTTGGGAGATGCTACTGGCACTTGAGTGCCGGTCTCGGTGTGGTGGGTTCGCAAGTGACCAACCAGGCAACTGCGAGATGTGAAGGTGTGATCACAATTTGGAAGGGCTGGGATGGGGTCTAGACTGTCGGTTGAGGGCTTTTCCGGCGGCGATCGAGTTGGTCTCCTAGATTGCCGTTACAGTCTGCACTGTTATTCTACAGTCCGGTCTGGCCTATGTGGCGTCCTCTCAGGTCGGCGGATGTTTTTTTTAGATCTCTGAGAGATGTCCACAGGTTCTCCGTTTATCGCCATTCTTGTTGTACCTAGTCGGCGAGCACTCATTGCGACATTTCCATGGAAGAGTCGCCCGGCTGGACGCTTGCCGTCCGTCCTCACAATGCGGTCGCTTCTCCGAAGTTGCACTTACTGCAGCCGGACGTAGATGACGAGGATTTCGGTCCGTTCAGAGGTTGCCCAGTCATGGATTCTGTTCTGCCGCCTCAGACTTAGTATTTTCCGAAGACAGTTTCTTTACTTGATCGGAGTAGACGGCCAATTTCCTCCCTCCCCTCCCCCCCCCGTGTAGTAGACTCGTCAGAACTACCTTCCTGTACATGTTGAGTATCGTGATGAGTCAAAATTTGTGTCATTTTCAGACAGAATCCTTTATCCAGTCGGCAGTCTGGCTGGCTTTGTAGACCCAGGGTCCCTTCTTCGTCGATCTTGGTGCTTTTTGTGATAGTGCTGCTTACGTAGACAAACTTGTCCACGAATGCGTATCGTGTTCCATTCATGTAGATACTAGACGTGGTCTCGGTATACGCTGTTGATTCCAGAATATTCGTCAGGGTGTACATTCAGCAGAATATGAGAGAACATGGTACTGAAGAGGGTTTGGAAGGAGTACACACTCCTGTATAACTCCACTGGTCACTGCAAATGCCTCCGAGGCTGTCCAATTTGTCGTAACGCGAGTCACCATGTGGACGCGGAGCAGACGCACCATGTCCTGGTTCCGCATCTCCTGACACTTCTATTGTTGCTGGCGCGTGGCGAAGATAATATCGATGGTTCCGCCGTGTCGTTGGCGGCCACACTCTCTAAGAATGGGTTGCAGAGTTTAGGTTGGTATCGTTTGAAAGTACACAATTTTCAACTACCCGCACGTGCACAGGTGGGTTCACTCTCACTTATGCCGAGATGGTTGGCCTTTGCTATCTACTAACGTTCACTGTCCTCTTGAATTTCATTCGACTTCGATTCCTCTACATGAATATTTTATCTAGAACCCTTAGAACGCACCCTCCGGCCGTTTCTTTGATTGTGTATTTACGACCAATTCAGATACCACCCAGCTTAAATACAGGAATCCGCCAGGCATTTAAACTATTAAAATATTCGGGCTGCTCAAAGAAGTGATAATACAAAGTATCAGCTTAAATTTCGGAAGAATGTCAAGTGAAATACGTTGCTGTAATGCTCAAGGCTAAAGTTGAAACGAGTCAGAAGATGCGCCCGGGGTACTGTTGATGTAGACATGATTGAAATAAAAAGAAAAGGAGGCGTTCACCGGGAGAGGTGAATTGGAAGTCTGAAAAAGTGCGCCTTATAAGGAGAGCTGTGCGCATGACTTCCCAGTCTCTGAAGATGGGTAGACGAAGCAACTACTCGAAACGTCAGACCTGCGATACACCTCTGCCGGTGAGCGCCCCTCTTTCTTTTGATTTACTACCTGGGAATCGCATTTTCACTACTATCGATATGATTTAAATTGTTAGCTCAGGGTGGTCCTTTACCTTTGCCAGATGTATGTTGTTAAACGGGACGGGTGAGAACATCTGTCGGGTTTGCCATAAATTTTATTTAATATCCTCAATTTCAAGCTAAATATCTTTCTCCTGCGAATTTCTCGGGTGGCCACATATGGCCGATCTGCGTGTGTCACGAAATAATTCGGGCTACAATAAAGGAAGTGGGTGCTGATTTTAGCCAAAAAATGCAGTTTAACGGATCATGATGCGTGACAGCAGAATGAAAGCATGGACAGTGAGTTGCATGTGAGTTAGTTTAGAGCGATAGTGAACTTCCGCTGTATCTATCGCACATTCTAGTCCTTCCTCAACTCGACCCGGTATCAGGATATTGTCAAGAATGCCGGGGGTGAGATCGAATGCAAGTGGTTGACACGGCGTAAGCCGCACCTAAGTGTCCACATCACAATGAAAGGAAGGGGCTCGAATCCTACTCTATGGAAGTCCTTTAGAGGTCACCGGGTGCCGCGACCAGACAATCAATTCATTGCCTCCAGGAAGCATTGACATCGTTTTGAACCTAGTTGCAGGAGAGCAGTTGTAGATAAGTGCGCATAACCAGGATTTCAACCAACAACAGAGATTTGGAGGCTGGCGCGGCCGAAGCCGCACCTAGGCGTGTCGCCGACGCCTGGCTCGGATCCCACACTGTGGTGGAAGTGCCATAAAGGTCACATTAAGAAGGAGTCAGTGCAGCCTGACTCTCAGACTACCACCAGTCAAGGAGGAGGTCCAAGTTACCCCGTCAATTGGCAACCTTCCAAGCCACGGCTTTTAGCGCACCGTGATAGCTTCAAGCGCGTCAGATTGTTTATAGTGAAGAGTAGTGCGCTGAGTCGTCGACCTCACTCTCCCTTCCCACTCGCACACCCCAGCCGCTGTCCGAGCCGGTCAGCATACCGGGGTGAGGAATGGGCGAGTTGGCTGGCACAATCGACCGACCATGCCTGCGTGCGCCACTTGCACGACCTGGCCCTCCAGACACACCAACCAGGATTTCACACAACGAGGGTTGAACAGCGTGTCTCCCACTTGCGTGCTAGGACCGTGGAAGGAGCTCCTTCAGCCCGTCCCCAGCCCACCAGTCCGCCATTCCACACAAAACACACACAATGCGACGAACTGCGTGAGCCGAGAGCGGGTGTCAATCAGCAACCTTCCTATCCCGACGCTTGACGTGTCGGGATAGTCTCGGACTCGATCACTCGTGCAGCCGAAGCAGCATGGGGACCGAGTCGAGATGCACACTTCCCACTTGCGTGAGAGGTGGCAGTTGGGTGCATGCGATGGGTGAGTGTTGATGTGTGGTGGGGTGGTGGTGATGGTGGTGGTGATGGTGGTGGTGATGGTGGTGGTGATGGTGGTGGAGGCAGGGAGGGAGGGTATTGCGGTGTGGTGTAACCGGCAATTGTCTACCGCAGGTCGTCGAGGATGCGCATGTGGCCGAATATGCCCATGCGATGCGTGAAGGTGCGAGGGCAGTGCGGGCAGCGGAGGCGAGTGTGGTGGGTGTAAGTTGGTGCTCCTAGCACTGGTTCGCCAGTCACTGTGCGATGGATTCGCAAGTGACCGACCAGGCCGATGTGTGAGGTAAAGGTGTGGTCGCAGTGAGGGCAGGTGTAGACCTGGTCGTCACCCCTGAAGTCGGAGGTTGGAGGGATGGTGTCTGTCGTTGTGTCATGTATGTGTGGGATGCTGGTGTGAGTGACGGACACCAGAGCGGCCGCGGTAGGTGCAGTGGCACAAGAGAGGGAGCTGGAGGAAGAGGAGGAGGAGGAGGAGGAGGAGGAGGAGGAGGAGGAGGAGGATAAAGGGAGTGCCGGCTCAGACGAATTGTCAGAGTAAGTTGGCGGCGGAGAGGGCGAGAAAGAGACGGGAGGAAGGACGGCTGTTGGTACGGTATGGGAGGTGCAGTTGGTCCGAAGATGTCCAATGAGTCAAATTCGTGCCCGGAATGTCCGTTCACACAGAGGACACGTTTTAAGCGGTTGTGCGTCGGCTTGGCGGACGGGACATAGCTGTGATTTGCATGCTTCGCGTTCCACTTTGGTAGCGGTGATTCGGCTGGTATGATAGATCGCAGCGGCTGTCTTCACTTTCCTCATCCATGTCGGTCGGTCGAGGGCAAGCTCTTACTAGTTGGCCAGATTAACTTGCAGATGCTTCAGGGAGGACTTCAGAGTATCCTTGTATCGACGAATAGGGGTTCCTTGACGACGAGAACCCGTCGCGAAGTCTCCGTAGAAGAGTCGTTTGGGTAGTCGCTTGACGTCCATGCGCACCAGGTGGCCGCTCCAGCGCAGCTGCATTTGTCTCAACATGGAGTAGATGCTGAGCATTCCCGTTCGTTGCAGCATATCAGTGTCGGGGATTCGATCCTGCCAGTTCAGCTGCAGGATACGACGAAGACAACTGAGGTGGAAGTGGTTCAGACGGCGTGCCTGCTTTGTGTACACCGTCCAAGTCTCCACTCCGTAAAGCAGCGTCGGCAGGATGACGGCATTGTACATCTTCAGCTTTGTGCTCAGTTGGAGGCCATGACGATTCCAAATAGTGCTTTGGAGATGAACGAAGGCTTGACTGGCCTTCGAGATCCTGTTGGCGACTTCGTCATCAATTTTGGTGTTGCAAGAGAGGGTACATCCCGGGTAAGGGAAGTTCTCCACCACTTGAAGTTGGGTCCCGTTCACACTGATTTATGGCGCTTTGGGGGTAGTGGTGGTGTTGGGTGGCGGTTGGTGCATCACCACCGTCTTCTGCGTGTTGATGACCAGACCGAAATTCTCGCAGGCGGCGGAGAACAGGTCCGTGCTCCGTTGCATCTCCTCCTCTGAGGTGGTGTTCAGGGCGCAGTCGTCGGCGAAGAGGAGTTCGTGAACGGTGGTTGTGGATACGCGCGATTGGAAGTGCATCCGCCTGAGGTTGAGGAGGTGGCCGTCCGTCCTGTAGGCGATGCGGATCCCGGGCCGTTCGTCACGGTAGGCGTCCATCAGCATGGCAGAGAACATGAGACTGAAGAGGGTCGGTGCCAGCACGCATCCCTGCTTCACTCCGTTAGTCACTGAGAATGCCTCTGAGACAGCATCGTTGTCCGTGACTCGCGCCATCATACCGTCGTGCAGCTGACGCACCATCTGAGTGAATCGCTCCGGACGGCCGAATGTTTTGCATGATCATCCACAGTCCTTCACGATTCACCGTGTCAAAGGCTTTCGTCAGGTCCACAAAGGTAGAGTACAGGTGGATCCGCATCTCCTGACTTTTCTCCTGAAGTTGGCGGGCGGCGAAGATCATATCCGTGGTCCCACGATGATGACGGAAGTCGCACCGGCTTTCCGGCAGAAGGCCCTGTTCCAGATGATTGTTGAGGCGGTTGAGAAGGATGCGAGTGAAGATATTCCCAGCGATGTTTAGCAAGGAGATGCCACGGTGATTATCGCAGACTTGACGATTCCCTTTTCGCTTGTATAGGTGAACGATTGTTGCGTCTTTGAAGTCTTGCGGGACTTCGCCTTGACGCCACATCTCCTGGAAGAGCGTAGTCACGTGATCCATGAGTTGGGGGCCTCCGTGCTTGTAGACCTCATCAGGGATCGCGTCCGATCCGGGTGCGTTCCCGCTAGAGAGTTGCTGCACGGTCCTTATGGTTTCCTGGAGAGATGGCGGAAGGTCGAGGTCCACGTTGGTCTGCACTTGCGGCAGGCGGTCGATGGCGGCGTCGGAGATGGCGGAGGGGCGGTTAAGGACGCCCCGGAAATGCTCGGCCCATCCCTATTGAATTTGTGTTTTTGTAGTCAGGAGAGTACTGCCGTCGGCGCTGAGGAGAGGATCAGTGCCCTTTGTCGGCGGACTGTAGACAGCTTTGATCGCAGAAAAGAAGTTCTTCCATTCGTTGCGGTCCGCGTAGCCTTGGGTCTCCTCAGATTTGCGGGAAGTCCAGACGTCCTGCATCTCGCGCAGTCGTTGTTGAAGCTGGCGGCGACTGCAAAAGAAAGCAGCTCTGTTGTTGTCAGGGGGGTGATCTACGTAGGCTTAGTTTAGGCGGCTCTTTTCGGCTAGCAGATTTCCGATGACAGCGTCGTTGTCGTCGAACCATTTCTTATGTTTGCGGCGTGCGCGACCGGGGACGGCGAGCGCAGACGACTGGACCGTGTCTCGCAGTTGACACCAGCGGTTCTCCACGGAGGCGTTCTCGGCAGCGGCGGCGTCGTCGGCGTCGGCAGCGGTTGGAAGGTTGTCTAGACGTTGAGCTAGCTCATCGCTGAAATGAAGATGGTGAGCGGGCAAGGACAGCAAGGCAACATTCAGCTTACCTGGGGATCGCTTACCTTGTGGTCTCCTGCGAGGCTGTAGGCGAATACGCATCTTCGAGATGATGAGGCGATGGTCGGTCCACCCGTCAGCACCCGCGATCGCCTTCGTCACCAGCACGTCCCGCTGGCCACGCCTTCGGACGAGGACAAAGTCCAGCAGGTGCCACTGACGCGACCGAGGATGCCGCCAGGTGGCCTTCTCTCGCTACGGCAGACAGAAGAACGTGTTCGTCGGGGTGAGGCGGTGTTCTGCGCAGGTGCGGAGCAGCAGCAGACCATTGTCGTTTTAGCCGCGGAGACTATGGGTACTCAGCACTTCTCTCCAGGCAGTATGGTCTGTGCTGACGCGGGCGTTGAAGTCACCAAGGGCAATCAAATTGTCCGCCTTAGACACAGTCGCTAAGAGGGCCTGCAGGCCCTCGTAGAATTTGTCTCTGACGGCGTCGGGGTTAGTCATCGTCGGAGCGTAGGCGCTGATGATGGTGGCGAATTGGCCCTTACCCCGGAGAGGCAGACGGAGGCTCATCAGGCGATCGTTGATGCCCTGCGGCAGACTGGGCAGTCGTCCCAAGATGTCGTTCTGGATGGCGAAGGCGACACCCGCGTCACGTCGCTCTGCCCTGGGTCGACCACTCCAGTAGATGGTGTAACCGGCTCCCACCTCTTCCATTTGGCCTTGTTCGGAGAAACGGGTCTCGCTGAGTGCGGTGATGTCCACCTTGTAGCGCGCCAGTTCTCGTGCCATTAACGCTGTACTCCGTTCCGGTCGGTTGCTCCGCGGATTGTCTAAAAGGGAACGAACATTCCAGGCTGCCAGAGTGAGCGGACTCACCCTGCCAGTCTGGTGACAACGAGTTGGGCGACGGAAGGGAGATGGAGAATAAGGTGACGACGGAGAAGAATAGGCAGAAGAATAGGCAGAGGAAGAGGTAAAAGAGGTAGGATGAGGAGAATGAGTATGGTTGTTGTTTTTATTGGTATTGTTGTTGTTTCGATTTTGATTGTTTCGACCATGATTAGACGTCTGCGGCCCTGGCTAGCCTGGAGACGGCGTGGTACCCAGCAATGTTTAGGCCACCTTTTCTAGGCCCTTCCCCTCGTGGGGGCTGGCAGTGCCATCCCTGAATAGGGCTGCCATGTGCCGCTGTGGCACGGCCGAACTCCACTGTGGGACCACGACTTCGGGTTGTAGTGGAGACCGACTCGAATTCGCCGTAAGCCGCGGTCTCCAACGGCGTGGGTGGGCACGTCAAGGCGATGTCAATGTGCAGATCCATCCCGTCACCAGCTGTCCAGCGGCGAGCAGAGACGAACCACGTCACGACGGTGCCGACGCAAGGTACCACCTGACCTTCCATCCAGCGGAATCCGCAAACCATGTGCACACGGCACAGCGCACAGGGTCCCCTAACCTGGTTTAGCCCGCCGGTCGAGACGGTTGCCCGGGGTGTGGTCGCTTAGTAGAGCCCAGCTACGTGGAGCCACAGGTGAAAGTTGGGTGCCAGCAAATGGACGCTAGGCGTAGTCTCACCTGCAAGCCAGTGAGCGACCACTACGACCATCACGTGAACCCACCGCTGATACCCCCTACACCCCACTACTACTACTACTACTACTACTAATTCTTAATTTTCTGCTATTAATGCCACTCTTTGTACTAGGACTTCTACTAATGCTACTGCTACTGCAGGTTTGTTGGTCTAACGTCTCGATCTCTCAATCTGAGCCATAACCGGAGACAGTTGTAGACAAGTGATGAAGACACAAAGGCCACAGCATTCAAGGCACGAATTTCTCCTCCGGCGTGGCTAAGTCGCAGAGGTTCAGGTTCATTCACGATCAGCCACCTAACATGACAGAAATTGCGTCCTAAAGATCATTGTATCACCATCTCAAAAATGAGGCACCGTCAGCAACTCCACAGGAGGCTACAAGGAAAGTGAACCACCATGTTAACTGAATACCGTCTGGTTGACAGGCGGTCCGAACCAAACCTGCATCTTCAGGTTAGAAATTTTAATTGCTGTCATTGCGTAGAGCACTGATTTCGTACACGTAAAACTCTGCTAGTTTAAGTCCTGTACAGAGCAAAGACTATCTCATCTCATCCAGCAGGTCAAGAAAGAGGCAAATGCATCCTGAGGAGAGTGTTTGGACGCAGCAAATTCGGGAATTTTGCGGTGGCAAGTCAACGTATGATTAACGGCGAAATGCTTCAGCAGGAGGAAGCAAGGAATAGATGCAGAAGCACACACAAACACTACATAAATTTAAGAATAGCCCACTTGCACTATTTGCACTGTGTAGCGCCTGTCTCGAACAAATTAACTAGTTTTTGTATTCGTCCCATGTGCTGGACACTGCTCGCATCCTTCCGACGTTTAGAAATAACAGATGTCAAGGCTGATTTATTTGAATTTCATTTATTTTTAGTCTCAATGCAACGGAGAGCACTCCAAGTTAACATGAAACAGTAAATTTTCGCAGACTTTTACATGCAAAAGCTTGCAGCGCCGTCAATCCGGCTAAACGACTCCACTGGACTACTAGATGACCAGACCCAAGATGTCAAGTCATTGTCAAGGTCAGTTGAACCTCCTGGTG